GATATTAATTAACGATATTTCAATAATAATGGTCTTTTGAAATAATGAAAGTATATACGCGACATAATTCTGAGGGTTATTAATTTAAACATTTAACTTTCTCTATTAGCGTATGAATATAGGTGGTACAGATATCTGTATACTCAATTTATTATACTCAGACTGTTTTCTCTTTCAACAAACGTTTAATCAAATGACCGTTTCCCGCATGAGTTTAAAGCTTCACATCCATTAAGCTTATAATTGTGTGATTGTCGCAATGAACAATAATACGTATACATATATGTATACATATATGTATACGTATGAACGAAATATTCAATGTTGGTGCGAACTATCGAGCGTGTGCAAAATTTCAATTTATATCGCGTATTCGGCGTAATTAATATGCAGAATGACAATGAAAGCTTGGTTTTGTATTTACGCATAATAAATTATTACAATAATTTTGTCGAAGGAGAGAGAGAAACGTCGGTTCTTACACAGAAAGTTAAACGTTAGAAATTACGTTACGTTACGTTAAGAAAACGGATTCAATCAATTTTCTTGTCTTGAAGACAAGCTGTCGATTTTGCTGTCGAAAAATGGTTCTTCGCGAATAGCGCGTTACGTTATTCCGCACACTATCAACATATAATTTATATGGTATCAGACGTTTCAATATTAGATTTCAACAAACACATTAATTTGGGATCAAATGGACTAGCTCTGCAATTAGTAAATTCGTTGTCCATAATGAGTTTAAACAGTAACATTTAAGCTATTTTGCGTTGAATTCTAGTAAAGGCCCTTTAACCCCCTACTCGTTTCTAATTTACGAACTATATTTGCCGTGGATAATGACACATGGGATGCAGCATCGAAGCAATTGAAAACGACCAATTTAGTGTCCAATTTACACGTTTAATTAGGTCCATTGCAACACTAATGAGCAGGAACATTCGTATAATTGAAAGTGAAGTTGGATCCCATTTGTCGTGTTCGGTATTTTTATCTCGTTACGATATTTTCTGTTTTGTTCTCGATATAACAAGTTTTCTAATGTTTGAGATTTACATATAAATGTATATGCTTCATCTGTCTATTATTGTCCAAATGGAATATAATTTCTAATACGAATAAAGTACAGATGAAGAGGATTGAAGTCGAGTCGCGTGTTGCAAATAATTTAATGCAGCTTTAAAATATCTTACTGCAATGTATTTTCAAGTTGCCACTTTAAGTATAGAATATACATTTATAAGACAAATGTACCAATGCCGGGACACTTAAGTCCTATGTCTAGACACCTTTATCACTTTAGTTTTTAAATAAGAATAACGTGAATTAAAATCAAAGATAAAAATATAATGCAAAAAAATATTTTTATCTTTGATTCTTTGATTTTAATTCGCGTTATAACTTATTTAAGGATTAAAATGATAAAAATATCCAGACACAAGTATTATACGTGTCCAGGCATTGGTACATTTACTTTAATATAATTTTGTTTTGCTATTTTTTGGATAACACGTTCTTTATGCTGTCATCATTTAGAAGTTTAAAATCGAAACGATAAATGAATACAATAAAAGTAATAATATTTAGAAAGAAAGTTGCATTTTATTCAACAACATCTCTCGTGCATTTATTCGTTGCTGCATTTACCTTTTCTGTCATTGACTCGATATCGTCATATATCGCTGTGCCGCAGTCGCCGCTTGTCGAGCGGAAATGAAATTGAAGGAAATGGACGAGAATAAGATCGTTTTGGTTCGGCGAATTACTTAAGAGTGAAATGGCACGGACGTCGGGGTCGGGGAGATGCATCGAAGTCGCACGAAAGGCAGTTGCGAAACAGTAAGGTGGAAGGAAAAACCTGAGCAATCGGGTCAACGGAGAGAGGTGTTCTCCAAAGAAGAACGCCGAAAGGAAGGAAACTTACGGCGAGAGGAAGGGCAAGAGAACGATTGAGTTTAAATCGATCGGAAAGATTAGAGATGACGAGACACGGCAGAAAGAACCTAGGTCGAAGGGAGAGTGGTACTGGGGAAGGAGGGGGAGGTCCTGGCAGGAGAAATCAATTTCGAATTAAAGTACCCACGATGGATTTGCCTCTTCGCCTCTGTTCTCCTTGTTCCTCATTTTACGTCGGTTATATAGAATGTCATCGCGGGCATTGAACGCTTTCTGTATAGTGATCGATGCTAAAGGCCAAAAGTAGAAGAATGCCGTCAGTTTTAATGGCGAGTCATTGACGGCTTTCGAGTAATAAGCTATTGAAAATAAAGCGTTTCTCTACAAACTTTAACGATGCAAATTGAAAACAGCAACTTGTTCTTCGAATTCCAAAAGAATGTTACCTGAACGGAGTTTTAATTTACACACATGGTAGGTACTCAGATATTTAGAATAAAAGAGTTGCGAGAAAAGGTGATTACGCGAGGAATTAAAAATTGAGAAAAATACAATATAATTATACGCAATATTCCGCGGTGCTTTCCAACTTCGATTTTCCAATATTCTCGCAGGCCGTTTGAAATATTTTTCCATGGTATTTTCGCTTTTGTAAATGAAATGGTTGTTTAGACGAATATTCCGATTGAAAAATAAGTATTTTATCGGATTGAATTCTTAATTTAAGCTTGAGAAACTTGGAGCGATATTGACTCAATTTGCATCGTCTGAAACTGCATGCAGCATTCTAGCAGTATCGAGTATCGTATATAAGGCAAAGTAGATACGTGGCACGTTCGGCTATACATGAATGTTGGAGATTTTAGTGCCAGAGAGAGAGAGAGAGAGAGAGAGAGGAGAGAGGAGAAGTGCATACGTTGCGTATATGACGTAAAAAATATGGAGAAAAAATCTTTTTATAGGACGCACACGTGACCGGAGTGCCTAGAGTATATTTGAAAAGAGTCCAAACTCTGGCAAACGCGATAACGCACGAGGCGGAAAGAGGAAAACTCAGTTTATTTTAGTGTTTATTTCAGCGCCACTTTATTTTTCGCGAATAAATCGCCGATGATATAACCCGCGAGTTTTGGGCACGCGCTATACGCGAGTTAGATATACAAAAAAATCAAGAGAATTGCATATTGCAAGAGTCCCGAGTGCTTTGCCAAATATCAGTTTATATCATGAAGGTACGATAGCTTATCGTAAAAGTCTGTTTTCCTCAACAATTAATGAACTCGTTCGTAAGAACTCTTTGTGATTAATTATGCAGAAACAGTTTGCGAGATTTATAGATCTTTTAAGTAGAAATTCGATAGCGCAAAAGTGAAATGATAAGAGTAATAACAAATAATTTTAATTTAATCGATGCACAATGGTAAAATTCGTGAAGTGAATGAAGAACGAAAAAGGATTCTGAGAAATTATCGGGATAAACGATTTATATATCGGAAAATTGCAAGTTGTGTATATGCATGGCTTATTAACACACGAAGAAGTTTTGTTAGAATAATTGATAGAAGAAACGAGTTGAAAGAGTTAGTCGTGGAACATTAAGCTAACTAATCAAAACGTGCATAAATTTTCTCGAAAATCTATATCAAGTAGTGTATCAAGTGATGTGTAACGTAATGAATGCGTAATTTCATTTTAATTGTTTCGTAATATCGCTTCAATCTAATACATTTTGCGATCTATATATAGCAGAAATTTACGATTACATCGAAATCGATAAAGTTATTGTATTTAAACAAATATAAATTAATAGTATTTTGCACTAGATATCGTGCCTTTCTCAGCAAAATATTAATTAATTATAAATTAAACGTGTTAAAGTAATCTATCAAATTTTTTACATTTTGCAACAAATATCATTTGATGTTTGTCGACATACTTGAAGATGCATTCGATATGCAGTTCACGTTGAAACATCTCGAATTAAATGGCTCTTTAAGTCCTCTCCGCTTTGCCATCTTTTTGCGTCAGTAAAGTGCTCTTGTCGCAGACGGTATATCTGATGTTCAGGTATTCCATTATAATAATACGCTTCGTCGCCTTTCAATTCACGGTTCGCTTTTAAAAAGGTTCCGCGACCGGCTGTACGCCGGTAGTCGCAAAAACACGGTTTATCACGAAGTAGATTAATGTTTTCGACTCTCATTTAGGTCAGAACGCTGTTAGCTTATTCTGATGTAATGCCATGATGTACAATCCGCCTCTTGTGTACTCCGGCTAACGTCCATGAAAAAGATTACACACGGCCCTTGTGTTATATTATGTTGATTCTAACGCAGTAAACGGTAATGGAATGCCGGGAATAATACTGCACTCACTGAAATATTTTAAATTATACTTTTCCCATTTGCAGTCCGAGATTATTTTAACATAATAAAAAGTCATACATTAAAAGCAAATCACTATAAATTAATAATATTTATACCGAGATTTATACAAATAATAAAACGGACGTTTTTACCGTAGGTAATCATATACAAAGAATGATATAGGTACTTTAATAAAGAATGATACGCATAATTAATTTGCATTTTTGCGTAGCGCAAATATAGGGCGATGTAAGATATGTATTGAAGTAATATGTAAATATCTGGATTGTTATATTTATATGGATTTAAAGTGTAAAATTAATTTTGTTTATCGTATATAGAAATCTAAAAGTTTTGAGATTTTTTAATACTTTTCTGTGTGTATTTCTTCACACAACATATTCTAAAATTATATTCCGATAATGAATGCGTAATTGCAAACGCAGTCACAATTGATAATTCCATGATCAATATTTGTTTTTTTCTACGTTGTGATATAAATTAACATTATGAAAGATAGGATATTTTTTGGAAAATATCTTTTGTTAACACGCTTTCCTAAAACAACAGCAATCCACAACGAGATATTTTTGTTTGCCTGTAAGTTGCATCTACGTTTTCTTGAATAAAAACTGAATGTATTACTCCGTTTCGAGTTTACTTGACACTCACATACTCTGATGAATTAGATTATATAAAATTTGTCGTGTTATTGAGCTTTTTCTTTGCAGGCGCGCTGAGCTGTACGAACTAGGCGATTATCATCTCGAACTCATGGAGCAAGATCCAAAACCCGGGAAACAAGAGTGGTCACCGGATTCCACATCGTACCGACAGTTTCTACACACAGGTCGTCATACAACGCCCGTGGTCTATTCGTCTCTACCAGCATTGTTTTCCCGCACAATACGGACAATGCGAACAACTGCCTGAGGTTCGTACGACAAGCGTTCTCTCGCAGCGTAGCTCAAATTCTCCTTAATGTTAAGGTATAACACGCTGTTAATTACGCACCGGGTCAAAGGTTATTAACGACGGTACGACAAGAGAAGATTCGTCCTCGTTTCTGGGAAACAGTCTCAGTTCTATCTCTCTCATTGCGCTTTTATATAACTCAGTTATATAATACTCCAGTTAAGCTGAGTTATATAAAAGCGCGATGAACTGCTTCCGAAAATGAGGAAGAATAATCCCTTTTTACTAATTTATTACATAATTAACGGTATAGTATAAAAAAATTGAATTACATGCGGGTAAGTTACATTTACGTAACTCTGAAAAATAAACATAATATAACATAATCTCGGGCATAATCTACAAAATCCTAATTATATTATTAATAGCAAGATGTATTTATTAATTTATATTGCACTGTTTTATTATATATATATATATATGTAAATAATATATATTTATATAATATAAATTTTATATATTAATAAATACATATTATAAGATTAATATAAAGACGCTAATACATAACATAATAATTCATAATACATGTTTATTGTATAAAAATTGCATAAAAATTTAATTTTAAAACCGAGAACATTAAGAGATGCATTAAAATAACTTATTGCATTTATTACCGTTTTGAGCTGCTTAAAACGGCTAATGTTTAAATTTTTATGGCGGTATTTATATTTTAATATCATGTACGACGCACGTGCATGCTTAAAAAAAAGATGTTTGCATTATGCAGCGTAGCACGATGGTCATTAAAACGGGGGGACATAAAATGCGGCGTAACGTTTCGCGAATACACGAAGAGGAGCCTCTTATCCCAATGTAATCGCTCTGTCATAATCAGTCCCGCATTTTCCACCCTCGTCGTTAATGACGACGAATCGCGATCTTGGCTCCGGCTTATTTCACGATAAACCGGGAAATGGTCCAATGAAAATATTTATAATTTTCCAGAAGAAGAACTTTGCCTAGCTATTCCATCAGAAGTCTCGCAATATGGCACATAATTAAGTTACGTTGCCGGTGTGCTCCGACTGCGTAAAGAGCGGCATCTTGCCAGCTCGTTATGAAGTCATGATGTTTTCCTTCAAGAAAAAGATGAAACTCGCGGAAATGGCACGAGAGCACGCAAACTCGTAGGAAATGGAAAATGCATCGCCCCATGCACGTGTTGACAAGACAGGGGAGAGAGAATGATATTCTAAGATCTCATTTCGTTTTTAATATCCTATGAGCTTCTTACATCACGCTTAACGATACACATCTACACATAACGATACGTTAATTCTGCGTTATAAACTTAATTGGTTATAACGTAGTATAGTGAGAATACAGATAAAAACGAGAGGTTTCATGAAAATTTTGTTTCAAGAGAAATCTTTGCGATAATTTCATTCGCGATAAAAATAATTTACTGGCAATATGATATCCTACATGAAATTATAGTACATATTTTTAGAAATGACAACTTAATATGTATATGCAAAAATATAAATATTAATGCATATAATAGTTATAATTTTTGCGTAGAAAATATATACAGATTATGATACCCGCTAATTTAACGAAACTAAAGGGGATACATTTTTGTTAATTATTTAAAAAAATAATTGTATTCTTTATTATGTGTGAAATAAGTTTAATTTATTTGGATAATTGGGATAAATAAGAAGAGAGAACACATCTTAAAAAATGTCCCTAATATGAAAAGTAAAAATAAGCGGTAAATAAGAGGTTCATATGCATCGTCATGTTTAACTATGACAAAAGATCAGTATCGTTATACACAGTCTGTATAAAGAGAACTTTTATGTTAATGGATGTTTACAACCTGAGCTTCACACAGTTCAAAGAAGTATAATAAAATACTGGACATAATGTACAACAGTGTTTTCTTTTACTAGTATTTATTTACAAAAGTTTAAAATTGCCTGAGTAAATGTAACAATATAGTTTATTAATTATTCATATTTATCAGAAAAGATACTTGGTTTTATAACGAATGTCAAATTGTATTAAATTTAAATGTAGTATGAAAAAGGAGTTTATATATTATCAGTAGAGTCTTGTCTCTTGCCTGATAAAAAAAATTTTTTTATTCTTTTGTTTATATTTTTATATGTATAATATACAGACGAAAGCTAAACAGGTCTATTATATCTTGATCAAAGAGGACTGATTAAATTCTACATAATTAATGTTTGGGTAATCAGGACCGGCCTCGGCGCGATGAATTCATTCGAATCATTCGATTATTCCAACTGGAGGCAGTCGAATAGTACTGCATGCGGCAGGGATATCTTGCTGGGTTTCCGCTTTTATTTCGTTAATAGAAATCATGGGTACACATTTCTCCGTAAAATCTCTTTCAATTTGTCCATACCACGTGGAATTACACGGAATTATGGAATGTATACATAACTGCGCGTGTGTGAAAAGGGGAAAAAGGGGATAATAATCTCACGCAACAACGCTATGCAATATGGCACAACAATACACATCGGTGCATCGATATCAATATATTTGATCGATAAGCTTCATGCTATTAGAAGTAAAACGAGAAGACTATAATCCATAAGTCGGACAACACGCGGCGCTGATAGAAATTGACGGCAGCGCGATTGGATATCTCCATCCCTCCCGTACCCTGCGCCATAAACGAACGTTCGATTAAACATTTTTAATTGCTTTCCTTCAATTAGCGGATTGTACAGGCGTCACGTGCAAGGCGTTCCGAACTCGCTCTCAGGCTGCCTGGTCCAAGGCTATCGCTCCGTGTATTCCCGCCATCCCTTTTTCCGTCATTTCTCTCCCGTTTCATACATTCCCCGTCCTTTCTTTCCCACTCTCTCGAGCGCACACGTTCGCACGTATACACGCGCACGACATGCACTCTCCCAGTTTTCCTCTTCTCGCCTATTCCACAGATTATTCGGGTTAATCCGCCATTTCCACCGACCAACTTCTCCCTCCGACTCCCATCCCGAGTTGGCCCTCAACACCCGATTTCTGATTGACTTTTCGCCCTCGTGCGCGCTGACCGGCTCGCTCGCCGACCCCATTTTCAGCCTCGCGCCAGGCAGCAGCGTTTCGACGTCGTAAAACGGGACGACTATTATCGATAATGAAATACTGAACTGCTGTGTCCACTCCGATGGTAATTATCACTAATTACGACATTCGACGACCCACGAGAAAATATCGCGATCGTCGAGTTCGTGCGCGGAACTTAAACTCATTAGCGGAGTCGTGTTAGTTTAATCAAATTTTGCGACTCATGCCGTTTCTACCGTGCGCTCGCCATTTGACGACTTTTTCGAAAACCATAGTCGCTCGTTGCCGATTTGTTTAGCAATCTGCGGCAACACAGCCTCCGGTAATTGAGTTCCAAGTGACATCATTGCCTGATTGCATAGACTGTGTGTATTCGTTCAAAATTTGTTGAACTTCCCAGTTATCGTTTAGTTTAGATACTCACGGAATGAAGTGATATTGCACGAGTGAGAAAAACTTTGCGTCGCAGTGGAAGGCAGAAGAAAGCTCTCGAAACTCTTTGATATTATGTAAAGTAACGTATAACTTGCAAAAGTGTTTCAACTTCTTCGAAATTTCTGTGATTAATCTCTTAAACACGGTGCGTTCTTTAAATATCATTTTACTTTGCTGCAGAGATTTTGTTTTGTGTTTTATTTATCTTCCATATTTTATTTAACATGCAAAAAACTTATCATCTTTTTTACATAGCGATACTTAAAATGGAACCAGCTACCCAAGAATAAAAAATCCCAGCGAAACGTAATCACAAGCTGTGAGCATTTTATTAATTTTCTGATATCGATATCATCTTTTTGCTTGTACAAATATTTGCAATGAAAACGCGTTTGTTTTTCCAAGTATCACCCACTCTTCGAGAAGCTTTTTAACTCGCTGAATAAACAACGATGAAAATAAAGCTTTGTTATCCCGGGAATCACCGCTAATTACCGGGGCACGTAATCGGCGGTGGCTGGATTACCGCCGTTATTTTTCGCGCGATCGTTCCGTTTACGAACAATGCAAGCTCGCGTAAACACTGCGTTTTCGGCATGCTAACGGCGAGGTACCGTTTCATCGATTCGCGCGGCGTTCACGCCGACGAATCGACACGTTTCGAGTGCTACTTGTTTCCAATTAGCCATTGTCTGCCGAGCACAGTCATCGAACGTAAGAGGCGTTCTCTCGTCGCCCTTGAACAAATCGACACAGCCACGTTATCGCTGCAATTGTCGTTTCTGGTCGTCTCTAATTTCGAAGCAGCTCTAACAGCGCCTATTCTTCGTTCTCGCGCACTGCTGCACGAGCGCGACCGCTAATTAAAGGTATACGCAAACGCGTCCTATGTAGATCCGAATTCATGTCGATATTACCTCACGAGAACTATGAGATTGAAACAAAAGCACTTTAATCATGCGAATGCGCGGTCGCTTTACACATACTACCACTATCGTGTTGTATCTACTAATGCTAAAATGTATGGATCTGTGTGTTGCAGCTTCGATTTCACGAGATCATTTCTATCTATCTAACTACGATGCATGCGCGTGTTTATTCACCTTAATAGCGACGTATTAGCAAAACCGATTGTTCGTAGATTTGAATTATAATTAAATTATTCGTCAGATTTCCTGACAGCACTATAAGAGTCGCCTTAAATTAGATATTTCAAGGAAAAATTGATATCAAGATTATTTTATTAATTCTAATTTTGAGTGGGTACGTCAATCCGAAAGTCTTCTATAATCTTTAATATTAATACAGCTATACATTCAACAACTCTGACTTTGATTAGAACATTATTTCGTGCGAGTAACATACTTTGACAATTTTTTTAGCATTTTTAATTATTCTGCCCGACATTTGAGATCGTATAATTGGAAAAGTAACGGCATAAATCTGTATTGTTTTCGACGTGTTTTACGTCACCATAAT